CAAAGCAATTGTTGTCTGGCCCAGCTCTGGGCCACACAACTAGTTTCTCTCTGCCCACATATGGAGAGGATTGAAGGGACTTGAGTGGCCCAGAATAAAAATATTGAGCAAATAAAAATAATAAAATAATAAAAAAATAAAAGCAAAGCTGTGTCCCATTCGACAGGGTCCACTGTGTTCAGTGTTTCGTTGTGTCCGACGCGTTCATGATCAGACGTACGGCTGCATCAGTGTCCTTATTTGCACACATATTTCATTTGAAGAAGTCATGTGCTCATACATGGTGCTGGTTCATGTTTAGAGCACTAGAGTATATTAAATATGTCCATAAGTTGAAACGCTTGCTCCGGTCCGTATATGAGCTATATTATTGGAGTTACGAGCGTTGTTGAAGTCATCGCTGTCATGCGTGCGCCGAGTGTTGTTTTAATTCTCCGCTGTAATGTGATCTCTGCGTAATACAGTGATTGGAGTGATTGGATTGAACAAGCTCTTTCTCATCAATAAATCCAGAGATTAGCTCAGAAACTTCTGATGTAGAATCGTGCTAAAGCCAGTCAAACACTTCGAAGCCGCTTCTGCCTCACATTCCATGACGTTGCTTTGACTTTGCTTTTCAACCCGGAAGAACGAAATTGCTCGGAAAAAATTATTTCCAATTAACCAATTTCCAATTATTGATAATTACAATTATGTTCAGTGATGTGCAGCCTATACATGTCTGTTCACATCTCAGAACATGTGTTTTGGGGTTTCATGACCCTTTAAGATGGCGTAATACCCTGTGAAGTCCACTTCTCAGTCCACTTACGCTCGAATGTAACGCAGCTTAAGACGTTTTATTCTTGCCACAATGCATGCTGGGAGCCATGGGTGAGTTTCATACTATGCTGGTACCCATTTCTATAGTGCTTTATACAATACAGATTGTTTTAAAGCACCTTTACAGTGATAAACAGGAAAATAACAAATTCAAAGATGCAAATAGAATTAATTCTTTATTCAGCTGAAATCAGTTCAGTGTGAGTCAAGATAAAGATGCGAGTATATAAAAAAAACACAAAATGTGGAAATTGTTATTGACAGGAGAATGGATATTCTGATTTTTACTGTGTGCAAAATTTCTCAAACTCATCAGAACATGAAGTTTTAATCCAACACAAGCCGATCTGAGAAAGCAGCGGCTGTTAAAAATACGCCATTATTTCACCACAGAGTGTCTGTTCGTCTAAACTAGTAACCGTGAAGTGTGTGAGAACAGAGGAATAACATCAGTACGAACCACCAACATTTATCTATTTGGATTCAATATTTTAATCATTCTGTGTCATTTTTTAATGTCAGTATTTCTACTATTTACATGTTTATGCCCAAAATGCTTAATTAATATTTAAAGTAGTTGACTGTCATTCTCCTCTACGCTGTGTGTGTTACTGTTTAAGAGGAATTAAATGTCCTATAGCCTATTTAACAGCGTTACAGGAGCATTCATTCATTCAACTATTTTAAAAGACTGGAATAAAGCACCAACGCACACAAGCAATCCTTTTTATTAGTCAAATTCATTTAAAAATGTAAACTCAATAGGTATGAAATATCAGTAAGAGTTAAGAGTTACACAGTTAATGAGAAGACGAGCATTGGACCGCTCCAGGGATAAATATATTTAGCATATATATATTATTATTATTCAGAATGCACAGTTGGAAATAAAATATATTTATAGGAACATTTCATCAGGCTCAAAATAATTAATACAGAGATCATTATTCATTTTTTTAATTAATTGGCAGCCATAAACCGTAGTGATAATCTGCATTCTCGTGTGTGTGTGTGTGTGTGTGTGTGTGTGTGTGTGTGTGTGTGTGTGTGTGTGTGTGTGTGTGTGTGTGTGTGTGTGTGTGTGTGTGTGCGCTGAATGCTCTAACCGGAAACTCCCGATATGTGTTAAGTAGAACGAGGAAGTAGTTGTGCAAGTAGTCTATTAATAATCCATGGAGCAAAAGCAAGTAATCGCCGTTATCATCTTCATGATGAAGGTTAAAAACCGCAGCTCACCCGTTTACTTGCATTTGATTACAGTGCAGTCTTGCCCTCCGCAAAATGGCGGACCCGTTGACGTATCGCAGCAACGTTCCAAAGCGGCCAATAGGACGTCTATGTATTTATTATGTCTATGCATAGATGCCCTATTGGCCGCTTTGGAACGTTGCTGCGATACGTCAACGGGTCCGCCATTTTGCGGAGGGCAAGACTGCACTGTAATCAAATGCAAGTAAACGGGTGAGCTGCGGTTTTTCTGGATAAAAACAAAAAGAAAATACATTTATCAACCGATTTCAGTGGTTTGTACGTGGTGTACAAAAAGTTCCATCTCTAGTTATTTAAAATCTCGATAGTTAGACTTATACAATTTTTTAAATTAGAAATTGTCAAAGTTTAGGCTTGTCGTGTAGGCTATCTGGCTTTTTATTCTTGGATAAGAATTGTGAAGATATAATTTAATTTTTACATTCAATTAAATAAAGTTTTCTTATTGTGGAAAAAGCATTTTCTGTGATTGACCCGATTTTAGCAATAACAAAGATAACTGATGGATCCTTTATGGTAATACATATGATATAATATGGTACAACTACAGTGCAGTGCAAATAGTAAAAATAAGATAAAGTGAGAAGTAATAGTAAATGGATTAGTCAATAAAATAAACAAACAGTAGGCCTATACGGCAAATAAAATAGTAATGAATAGTAATTATATAATATCATAAGTACATAATAATACAAATATTGATAATAGCATATAGTTAATGTATAATACTTTAATAATAATAATAATGGAATAAGAAATATCAATTACAGTATATAGACAAAAAATAAGTTAAATAGTGACTATGAATAGTACAATGAATAGTCTATTGCAAGTGAGCGCCCGCTGATCGCCTGGATCTCACAACTCCGAAAACGTCAGATCAAATTTTTAAATAGGCGCTATCTTTATAAATAAACCACATATTTGAACTTTAAAAAACTACATTGTCGACTGAAAAACTATTAAAACTACATTTCGTGACACAATAACAGTATTTTTTCATTTCGCGGCTTTTCTCCTCTGAACGTGTACTATTACTAATTATATCATGACCAAATACAACCAGAAACAAATGTTCAGTCTTGCTTGTGAAAGATAATTCCTCGAGACCTGTTTTCAGTTGTGTGGCGATGTGTACAGCCCCAAACAGCGCACAAAACAGGCATTTTTCTCAATTCTCGTTATGAGAAGTATGAGAAAGTTGCCCTCCGCAATATGGCGGCGCCGTTGACGTACACTCCAGCGGCCAATAGGGCGTCTATGTATTTATTATGTCTATGGTTACCATGGCAACTGCTTGAGCGTCCATGTTGAACGCGCAAGTACAAAAAAATTGTAAAAAGTACAAAAAAGCTTGACATGTCGTAATTATACATTATTTAAGGTTCTTTTATATTTGTTAAAATATATTGATATAGGAACTGTTGTTGTCAAGTAAGATTCATGTGTGTGTGTGTGTGTGTGTGTGTGTGTGTGTGTGTGTGTGTGTGTGTGTGTTCTAGTGTGGATCACGGAGGAGAGTTCAGGATTACATCAAGACTACACAGATGTAAGTCCTCAAACACACAGTTTTAGTGTGTGTTGTTGTAAATGTTACTGTTGTAATGTGTGTTCTTGTGTTCAGACGCTGTTGATCTCACACTGGATCCAAACACAGCACACACTCGTCTCGCTCTGTCTGAGGAGAACAGAAAGGTCACGCGTGTGAGAGAGAGTCAGTCGTATCCTGATCATCCAGAGAGATTTGAGTGTGATGGGTGGGCTCAGGTTCTGTGTGGAGAGAGTCTGACTGGACGCTGTTACTGGGAGGCTGAATGGAGTGGAGATTATACTCATATATCAGTGGCATATAAAGGAATCCAGAGGAAAGGAGAGAGTGATGACTGTAGGTTTGGATGGAATAAGAAGTCCTGGAGTCTGATCCGCCGCTCTGGTCAGAGTCTCATTGTTCGGCACAATAACAATAGTGATAATGGTAACCCCACTGATGTTTCTGCTGATTCAGGATCCTGTAAGAGAGTAGGAGTGTTTGTGGACGTGTCGGCCGGCACTCTGTCCTTCTACAGCGTCTCTGACACACACACACTCACACACTTACACACATTCACACACACATTCACTGAACCACTTTATGCTGGATTTAGAGTTTGTGAAGTTGACTCTTCAGTGTCTCTGTGTCGCATTAAACACACACGCACTGACTGACACACACATGCTGACTGACACACCTTTACACACATTCACTGAACCCCTCTGTGCTGGATTTAGAGTTTATTATTCAGACTCTTCAGTGTCTCTGTCACATTAAACACACACACACACACACACACACACTTACACACATTCACTGAACCACTCTGTGCTGGATTTACACTTTATAATGTTAACTCTTCAGTGTCTCTGTGTCACATTAAACAACAAACACACTCTGTCCTTCTACAGTGTCTCTGACGCACACACACACACACACACACACACACACACACACACACACACACACACACACACACACACACACACACACACGTCTGGTCCACTATCTTTGTGGGGACTCTCCATAGCTCCATAGACGTAATGATTTTTATACTGTACAAACTGTATATTCTATCCCCTTACACTAACCCTAACCCTAAACCTACCCATCACAGGAAACTTTCTGCATTTTTACATTTCCAAAAACATCACTCATTGGGATTTATAAGCTGTTTTCCTCATGGGGACCAACAAATGTCCTCACAAGGACAAGGATTTCAGATATTACCACCTTTGTGGGGACATTTGGTCCTCACAATGTAATATAAACATGAGCACTGACTGACACACACACACACACACACACACACACACTGTAAAAAATATTTGCAAAGAAAATGTTTAATTGAACAATTTCTCATTTTTATCAGAGGATTATACATAAATACACACACACACACACACACACACACTAAATTAACACTTTTCCAGTTGTTTGACTGATTGTGTGTGTTACTGCATTTGTCACATGTCTGTCCTGTCTTGTGTTGCACATGGGTGGTTGTTATGTTGGGCCATGTGCCTCTGTCATTGTTTGATCCCTCCCGCTCGTTACCTGATTAGTGTTTGAGTTTCTCCACCTGTTCCCTCTTGATTTGTTCCCTTTATAAGTCTCCTCATGTTTGCAGTCTTTGTCGGTTCGTTGTCGTTGTCAGATGTTTCTCTGTTCCTGGTTGGTGTTCCCTGTATTCTTGACCCAGTGTTTGTTTCATGTTCATTTATTATGTTTTCCCCCTCGTGGGTTTTTGATTTGTGTTTGTTCTGTTTTGTAAATAAACCTTCCTTGTTATGCACTTGAGTTCTCCTGTTCCTAAGTGTGAACGTGACAGAACGAACCGACCATTTTTGAACTCAGCAGCAAGAAGGATTTTATTTATTTATTTATTTATTTTTTTCTCTGAAGAAGCATGAAGGACATGTATATGGACGACGATGATCTGGATTGCCCGGACTACGTCATCGCCACATTTGGAGCAACCCAGTTCCGTCCTATCGGCAGGGACCGAAGGACTCGGCCCGGTAAGGAATCCGGAGGAATGAACATCTTCCAAGCGTTCGCTTTGATGGCTCAGCAAAGGGAGGAGTCGGAGCGCTTGGCCAGGGTTTCTGAGACCCGTGGAGGTCACAGGAGAGATTTTCGGGGGACCCGCCAGGTAATTTTTCGTGGGACCCGGGGAGGTTGTAAAGGAGGAAGAGGTGGTCGAGAGGAGGGTCAACATCACTCTCCATCCTGGCCTCCTTACGACCCTGTACCAGTGGAGGGCAGTTCAGAGCCGGCTTCTCACCGTCATGGACGGAGGAGAGGAGATCCATCTGCCCAGCGAGAGACTGCTCACGTCCCGCGAGAGACTGCTCACGTCCAGTCTGCCCAGCGGAGGACTGCTCACGTCCCTTCTGCCCAGCGGAGGACTACTCACGTCCCCTCTGCCCAGCGGGAGACTGCTCACGTCCCATCTGCCCAGCGAGAGACTATTCACGTCCCGTCTACCCAGCGGAGGACTTTTTGCGTCCCGTCTGTCCAGCGAGAGACTGTCCACGTCATGCCTGCACAGCGAGAGACTGTCCCTGAGCCGGTGCCTGTCCCTGAGCCGGTGCCTGTCCCTGAGCCGGTGCCTGTCCCTGAGCCGGTGCCTGTCCCTGAGCCGGTACCTGTCCCTGAACCAGTATCTGTCCCTGAACCGGTGCCTGTCCCTGAGCCGGTACCTGTCCCTGAACCGGTGGTTGTCCCTGAACCGGTGCCTGTCCCTGAACCAGTATCTGTCCCTGAACCGGTGCCTGTCCCTGAACCGGTATCTGTCCCTGAGCCGGTGCCTGTCCCTGAACCGGTATCTGTCCCTGAACCGGTGCCTGTCCCTGAACCGGTGCCTGTCCCTGAACCGGTATCTGTCCCTGAGCCGGTGCCTGTCTCAGAGCCTGTGTCCGGCCCTGAGCTGGAAGAAATGTTTGTGTCTGTATTTGTTTCTGTTATGTTGACTGTTTCTGTTTTAGTATCTGTCCCTGAGCCAGTGTCTGTCCCTGTCCCTGAGCCTGTGTCGATCCCGGAGATTGTGTTTGCCCCTGAGCCGGAGTCTGTCCCTGAGCCGGAATCTATGTTTGTTTCTGTATTTGTTTCTGTTCTTTTGACTGTGTCTGTGTTAATGTCTGTCCCTGAGCCAGTGTCTGTCCCTGTCCCTGTCCCGGAGCCTGTCCTTGACCCGGAGCCGGTGTCGGTCCCAGAGCCTGAGCCTGTGTCTATCCCAGAGTCTGAGCCTGTGCCTGTCCCAGAGACTGAACCGAGGTCTACACCGCCCTGGCCGCCCGAGGGGTCTGCACCGCCCTGGCCACCTGAAAGGCCTGATCCGCCCTGGCCGCCCGAGGGGTCTGCACCACCCTGGCCACCTGAAAGGCCTGCTCCGCCCTGGCCGCCCGAGGGGTCTGCTCCGCCCTGGCCACCCGAAGGGTCTTTACCGCCCTGGCCACCCGAAGGGTCTTTACCGCCCTGGCCACCCGAAGGGTCTTCACCGCCCTGGCCACCCGAAGGGTCTTCACCGCCCTGGCCACCCGAAGGGTCTTCACCGCCCTGGCCACCCGAAGGGTCTTCACCGCCCTGGCCACCCGAAGGGTCTTCACCGCCCTGGCCACCTGAAAGGTCTTCACCGCCCTGGCCACCTGAAAGGTCTGATCCGCCCAGGCCGCCCGAGGGTTCTTCACCGCCATGGCCGCCCGAGGGTTCTTCGCCGCCCTGGCCGCCTGATGAACTCTGTCTCGCCCTGGCCGGTCGATGTCCCGTTCCGCCCTGGTCTGTCCCCCCTGTCCCGCCCTGGTCTGTCCCTCCCGTTCCGCCTGATGTTTCCTTCCTGCCCCGCCCTAGCCTCATGGAGCGTCTGGTAGCCGCTCCGTAGGGAGGGGGTTATGTCACATGTCTGTCCTGTCTTGTGTTGCACATGGGTGGTTGTTATGTTGGGCCATGTGCCTCTGTCATTGTTTGATCCCTCCCGCTCGTTACCTGATTAGTGTTTGAGTTTCTCCACCTGTTCCCTCTTGATTTGTTCCCTTTATAAGTCTCCTCATGTTTGCAGTCTTTGTCGGTTCGTTGTCGTTGTCAGATGTTTCTCTGTTCCTGGTTGGTGTTCCCTGTATTCTTGACCCAGTGTTTGTTTCATGTTCATTTATTATGTTTTCCCCCTCGTGGGTTTTTGATTTGTGTTTGTTCTGTTTTGTAAATAAACCTTCCTTGTTATGCACTTGAGTTCTCCTGTTCCTAAGTGTGAACGTGACAGCATTATCCCCATTATTGATATTCACACACTTTATTTGTGCACAGTGTGTTATTAAAATCCTTCAGATTATCTGATTAAAACTGCTGGATCTCAGAGGATTATTATAATCAATAATGTGAGATGAATAACACATCATCTATATAACCATAGAGATAACTGTAAAGTGAATCTGAATCTTCTGTCAGCTCCAGTATTTCTCTGTATATTCACATGTTTTATTACAGTTTAATGATGTTATTGTAGTTTCTGGTCAATAAACGCTTGTTCCTTGTTCAGTGTGAACATGTTTCTTCAGTGTTTGATGTTTGACTGTTATTTTCATTCATGATAAACGTTTGTCACCCTGAGTTTCACTGTTTTTACACGTTTGCTTTTTAATGTCCAGTTTTGACTGAATCACTTTATGAATCTTCATCAAAAGAGAGTTTGATTGAATCTGATACAGAAGAACTGTTGAACAGGAAAGTAAACCAGTCTGTGACAAATCATCAAAGTCAAAGTAAAAAACACTTTATGCCAATGTGTAATTATATATTTAAGATCTGAGTAATATTAAGTTTGTGTATTTACTGTAGAGTTAGTGTTCATTTATAGTTATTACTACAGTAAATACACGTAACAATGACATAAAATAAATAAAAAATACATCAAGTTTTATATTCGTTTCAAATTCGTTTGTTTCTAGTGGTTTAAAAACTGATCTAGAAAAAAGTAAAAACATTGTCCTTAAAGATCTTAATTATTATATTCAAAAAAATATTATTACAGTTATAATTTTAAATCAGAAAAAAAATGCTCATTATGTTTATTTTTATATTTAAGTACTGAGTAATATTAAGTTCATGTATTTACTATAGAGTTAGGGTGTAAGTTAGTTTTTAGAAATGTACGCAGTATTCGTTTGTTTCATGGTTTTAAAAAAACGTTTATATTATTTTCTACAAGTTTAAAAACTGTAATGTGGTTTACGTAAAAAGAATATAGAACATATTCTCCTTAAACACTTGTATATGTGAGATTACATCTGAATTATGTTAAAAATTAATTTTAAATCAGAATAAAAATAAATAAATGCTCATTATGTTTATTTTTTCCAGGTCAGTTTATTTTAAATCAGATCTGGAGAAACTCAAACTAAACTTGACAGAATCATCTGAGCAGAAAAGAGGAACTAGAAGAATCAAAATAGTTTCGCTGTGTACGTCCCTTTTTGACCCAGCGCTGGGTTGCCAAAATAACCCAAATTGGGTTGTTTTTAACCCAGCATTTTTTCAGAGTGACTAGAAGAATCAATCAAAATTGTTGGCCATCATCAAATGAATGGTTGTTGTTGTTTTGAATGGAAAGAGTTTCCCATTTCCCATTGTGTCCCTGTAACTCAAGTAAATCAGTTTAACCTGAATCAAAGAGTTAAATCAAGCGGAGCTCAGAGGCTCATGTCCTCCATCATGAGTTTCACTTCATCATTTACTGTGTTTGGACCCGCCCTTACGAAAGGAAAATATATTTACCAATATATTACTTGAAATGTATTGTAATATATTATTTTCCAATATATTATATATTGAAAAACATGGAATAATATATTAATGATAAATATACACTCACCTAAAGGATTATTAGGAACACCATACTAATACTGTGTTTGACCTACTTTCGCCTTCAGAACTGCCTTAATTCTACGTGGCATTGATTCAACAAGGTGCTGAAAGCATTCTTTAGAAATGTTGGCCCATATTGATAGGATAGCATCTTGCAGTTGATTGAGATTTGTGGGATGCACATCCAGGGCACGAAGCTCCCGTTCCACCACATCCCAAAGATGCTCCATTGGGTTGAGATCTGGTGACTGTGGGGGCCATTTTAGTACAGTGAACTCATTGTCATGTTCAAGAAACCAATTTGAAATGATTCGAGCTTTGTGACATGGTGCATTATCCTGCTGGAAGTAGCCATCAGAGGATGGGTACATGGTGGTGCTTGTCTGTAAATTTGCAAAATTCTTGTATACATGTACAGCACTTTGGTCAACCTCGGTTGTCTTTAAACTTGTGCTTTATAAATAAACATGTATTGTATTGTATTGTATTGTATTGTATTGTATTGTATAAAGGGATGGACATGGTCAGAAACAATGCTCAGGTAGGCCGTGGCATTTAAACGGCGCCCAATTGGCACTAAGGGGCCTAAAGAGTGCCAAGAAAACATCCCCCACACCATTACACCACCACCACCAGCCTGCACAGTGGGAACAAGGCATGATGGATCCATGTTCTCATTCTGTTTACGCCAAATTCTGACTCTACCATCTGAATGTCTCAACAGAAATCGAGACTCATCAGACCAGGCAACATTTTCCAGTCTTCAACTGTCCAATTTTGGTGAGCTCTTGCAAATTGTAGCCTCTTTTTCCTATTTGTAGTGGAGATGAGTGGTACCCGGTGGGGTCTTCTGCTGTTGTAGCCCATCCGCCTCAAGGTTGTGCGTGTTGTGGCTTCACAAATGTTTGCTGCATACCTCGGTTGTAACGAGTGGTTATTTCAGTCAAAGTTGCTCTTCTATCAGCTTGAATCAGTCGGCCCATTCTCCTCTGACCTCTAGCATCAACAAGGCATTTTCGCCCACAGGACTGCCACATACTGGATGTTTTTCCCTTTTCCCACTATTCTTTGTAAACCCTAGAAATGGTTGTGCGTGAAAATCCCAGTAACTGAGCAGATTGTGAAATACTCAGACCGTTCCGTCTGGCACCAACAACCATGCCACGGTCAAAATTGCTTAAATCACCTTTCTTTCCCATTCTGACATTCAGTTTGGAGTTCAGGAGATTGTCTTGACCAGGACCACACCCCTAAATGCATTGAAGCAACTGCCATGTGATTGGTTGATTAGATAATTGCATTAGTGAGAAATTGAACAGGTGTTCCTAATAATCCTTTAGGTGAGTGTATTATACAATATATTATATATTCATGTAATATATTGCAATATATTGCAAAATATAAAAATGATTGCCGCTTTCCATATATTGCAATATATTGAGCATGAATATATAATATATGTGTTTATATATCATAAAATATATGCAATTTAATATTATAAATATCCAAATGTATTCCGATTTATATGGCAAAATGTATTGATAATATTATGTAAAGACATAGTGTCACATGTATGTTTAATATATGGTAGAATATATTTTAAATATATGTAAAATTATATGGAAATATATGTACATATATATTGTAAGATGTATGCACAATATATGTGTACATATATGTGAATATGTAGGCTACATTTAATGTATGTAGATATATACATGTAACATCTAAAATATATGAATACTTAATAAATATGCAACCTGCAATATATGTGCAAACCTTTAAACCACTTAATATCGTGCTCAAAATAATTATTATTCAAATATAGTAATTATAGTCTACTCTTAACGGTCTTAAGCCAATCGTCAAAATAACCACTTCAGCACAATGACCCCACAAACTCAGACATACCAGAAAACATTTTAAATTCCAAAATAATAGAACATGAAACACTAACAGATCTCCAACTATATTAATATTGAGCAAAACACATTAAATAACACTTAATTTTAACATTTGCTCTCCTTTTCCAGTCAGAAGCAAAGCATGCTGGGAACTAGAAATCTGATGTAACTCATTCCGTGAATGTGTGTATATATATGTGAGTGAACATATTCACATTTATATGGGAACATGTATGTGCAATATATGTAAACAATAAAGGATAAAACTTTGTGAATATTACATGCAATGCTATTTTTGTCCTCATTTATAAATATTTTATATGTATTAATACATAGCCATTAAGCCATACATAATCAATGCATAGGCCTATATTGCAGTATATTAAAGGTGCATTGCGCAACATTTCATGTTAAAAATACTCGTTTTTCTAACCCATACATGCTTAAACAATTGCCTGATGGGCTGAATGAGCCCTTCTCTGATCACTGCGATTGCCTCTATAATCCTGTACAGTAAAATAAATAAGAGGGATTCGGGCCGACTGGGCGTGACGTCATGCGCGTTCACAGTTCACTTTCAGGGCAATACGGAGCCGAATGCAAAAGCCACAGTTTAAATGGTTGATATTTGTTTTAATTTGAAAATAATTTTTTTATATATGTTTATTTTTATTTTGACAGTCTTAACAAACCTACACAATTCCATCTTTGTACTAAAACCTATGGATATATATATATATATATATATATATATATAAAGATTCCTGGACTTCTGGGTCAAAATGGAGCCGAATGCAATAAGAGGATTTAGACGTTTCAATAGAGTCTCTGATTTCAACTGTAGTTTAGTTTAAAGAGTTTGGTGAATATAAATGATGATTCTCCCTTGCATTTATTTAGCTAAAGACAGTAAAACAACTTTTAAGGCATTTCAGAGAAACTCCATGAATGAAGATGAATATCTAATATTGTAAAAGGCTGAAAAACAGGTTCTTTTGAAGGACCAGCTCTAGTTCTTTGGTGATTTGGTAGTTAGTCTTTAAAGAGACTGTTGCTAGTATAGATACTAGGGTTTAAAAAGACTTCTGTAGAAGTTGAAGTATCAACTCAAGCTTTTTACTCAAGTAAAAGTGTAAAAGTAACTGGTTTCAAAACTACTTAAAGTATAAAAGTAAAAGTAATGCAAGGAAAAAAATGCCATTAAGGACAAAAGCTTAGGCCGCGCCACAGGGGCATATAGTGCACTACCACCTCCTTAAAAAACATGTTTCTAAAGGCCATCACTATAACGTTATATTAAAATGTTAATGTTGAAAAATTTGGGTTGCACTACCTGTTTCAGCCACATATATGCCCATAGAAAATTAATTTCAGTCCAATTTCCATTTTTGTATAATGCAAATACATTAAAGAACCATATGTGTGTACTACTGAGCATTAACGTGTTTCATGGAGCGGATTCATGATGACTAGTTGCCTATAAGTATTGTAATGGTGCAAAAAGTCAAACTTCAGAGGTGTGTTATCTCGGAAAGGTATATGTTTATACTTCTCTTTAAGGGCGTAGGTTTGATTTTGAGATTGGTGGGGACTGGGGACATTCACAGAAGCGGAGGAATCAGGAAATTAATAGGATAAGGTTTTTAGCCTATATTGACCTTAACAATACGTTAATTCATTAATTCTGTAATGTTACAGTTCAATTCAATTCAATTCAAATTTATTTGTATAGCGCTTTTCACAATACATATTGTTTCAAAGCAGCTTTACAGAAAGTGCGTGCCAGAAATGTACATAGAAGAATATAGTTAGTTAATCATCATGTATTAATTTAGGGCATAACATATCGCCGGCGTTGAGTCGTCTCTTCACAGGCGTCGAGTCGTCTCATCGCAGGTGTTGGGG